CCCTTCTAATCCTCCATGTGACCTTCCTCTCCATCATTTAATACTCATTCTAATTCACCATAAGGCATTCCCCTCCCCTCCACTCCACCCAACCAAACCCAGTCCTATCACATCCTTCCCATTGCTTTCAATAGTTATGGTTGCCAAGAATTACAAATACCTAGATCCTGAGAATACTATTACATCCCTCCTATCACAATCCATCTTATCCCATAAACCAACCCTACTTCCTCATAGTACTTTTCAGTTTACTCTATATTACCCAATCCCTCAGTATTCTCTATGTTGCTAAGATACACTGTACTATGTCTTTCTATGGGCTCTGCGTGAGCTGCTGTACAACACAGGTCGAACAGCAGCTAAAGTTTAGGAAACTTTGAAGTAATCCTGAGCAATCAAATCTGTATATGTTACACATGCAGGGGTAATCTGTTTAGGGGACTCTCAACAAGTATCCCAAATTAAAGTTTTCTGAAAGAGTTTCCAGTCGATGAAAGTGCCTGGATGTCCACTCCTGAGAATATACAATTCATTTATCTGACTATTTTATCATTAGGTTACACTGACCATAATAACAAACTTAGGTGGTACAAATACTATTTAGAGGAGCTACCTCCAATAAATAGGGATACTATGAAGAAACTTATTGGACATTTAAAAAGGTAATTTTATGCAAAGCTGAGCATATTGATTATCTGCTTTGCATATCATTTGCATATGTTGTACCTTGACAAATCAGATCTCAATATTTTCAATACTGCAAGTTTTTCATGTAAGTTGTGCCTTCTGATAACAAAGGCTCTGACATATAAATGATGAGGATGAGTGAAAACATTGTCATTCACATTAACAACAGACTGACTTAGAAATATTGTAAATCTTTCAAATGAAATGTTTTTGTTAATGGACAAGCAGTGTGCCCTCTAACATTCAGTAGTTAGTGATAAAAGACATTTGAGAGAGTCTATTTGGACTTTAACAAGGCATAGCAGCATATTACACATTGGGTATGTAGCAACATTCCTCATTCCATTTTGGGGAGTCATAGTTGCCCCCCCTTCAATTTGGTGGTTGGAAATTTTGAGAGGATTCTAAGTGACATCTGGTGCCATCTATATACAATTAAAAAATAATAAATTAAATTTTGACTAGTCACTTAGTATTAGTATGTGTTTGGGCTTTATTGACGTTTATGCTATAAATATTTTTTTTAATCATTACAGTGTATCTGAATGTAGTAAAGAAAATCGGATGGTAATAGAAAACTTAGCTGCTGTATGGGGTCCAACTCTGTTATCAAGTGTAAGTAGTCAGTGATGTGTTATGGGATGTATTTGTTTTTCAGATTCAGGACTTTTATTTTTTAAATGCTTTTTCTAAGCCACAATTCTGAGCATGAGCTGATTGAACACAGTTTGCGATACATGCTTGTTCAATTGTTTAGTAATGCGATTCAATCCGTTCCATCATTTTGGAACTGGATTTTGAGGGTGGCCAACTGGCAGCAATGTTGATTGTTTTGGGGTTTCAATGAAATTGACCAACTGCCAGCCATTTTGCTGAATTTGTTATACATGATCTCCCCTTTTCTAACATACTTAACCAATTTTGTTCAAATTTGCTAGACATAATAGGATATATTCCCCTCTTTTTTGTGTTCTCAAATCAAACTTTTCCCAAATACATTCAAATTTATGATTATTAATTACCCGGTAATTAAAAATGACAAAATGTCTGAATTTTTTACATTCAATAAAAACTTGGTATAAATATGTATTGTTACTACATTGTACATGTAGCACAATCCTGCCATAACACAACTGCATAAAATGTAACTTCTATACACATCATTTATCAAATTTGTTTACTATTTCATGCAAAAATTTCTCTGACTGCTTAAACATGTGTCTGACTTCATAAACATGTCTCTGACTGCCTAATTCACTACGTTCAATTACCCACCATAGACTCTGGTCAGTCAAAATGACTATTTTGAACTGTAGGCATTAATCAGCGATTCTGCCGGTGACGGAGAGATAGAATCTAGGTCAGGGGGAGCCCCATGACCCCAAGATTCCCTTTCCCTTATGTCACGAACCATGTGACCGAGGCCATATGGCAGCGCCATAGACGACTGTACAAATCACTCTTTTTTTTCTCCGCATCTGCGGAGATGAAGTTTTAGCGGCTCTGCTGGATCGCCTGCCTTTTTTCCTGCCTGGGTTTCCAGCTTGGGTTGTTGCCGCTGCACGGCATCCAACATTGTAGCTGGTAAGATAAGTTTTCCTTGTCATTTTACCCTCGGGTCGTTTTTCCTTTTTGTGTGTAGTATTTTTCACAACAAAGAAATTAAAACCCGGCACCACTACGTAACCACTTGTTGGTTTCGTGGCGGCACCTTTTACAACTGTATTTCGTTTTTTCCCTCATGCATGCCGTTTTTTATTTGCAATGTATTTAGCAATGTATGGATGTAATGACAGCACCAGGGCTCGCTGCCGTTTTCCTTTTGGGCTCCTCGCGTTTCGAGTCGACTGTGCAGTGGTTATATATTAAGAATTTACCAGCATAGAACCCGCATCCGAGATACTTTGTCGTAGCTGTGTGCGGGGTTCAGCGTTTTTGCATGAAGGTGTGTGTTTTTCACTGGAGTTCTGAGGCCTGAGATTTTCTTTCAGAGCCATCAAAATCGCTGAGACTGACCACGTCACAGCAAGGTCGCACGTCCAGTAAACAAATTGGTTAAAGTGAGTTGCATGTTTGGCATGAGTGGAAAGTCCTCACACTCGGCTACCAGTTGTACCGGGACGTCAAGTAGGAGGCCCGTTGGTGGACGTACCGATTTTTTTCTCGGTCTCCCCCGCTGATTGGAGGGCATCTTCACAGTCTGTTTTTTCAGGCGGTGGTTTACCCGATTTTACCAGGTGTAGCAAGGCTGTGCCCCTGGAGGCTTTCCTCCTGTGGGGCCCGTTGCGGGTCCCTTTGTG